ATGGCCCTCGTCTTAAACCACCAAGACAAGTCAGCCTAAAACTCAACCATTACAATAAAATGCGAAAATTTTATAATAAACTCAAATATACCCCCAAAATCTGGTTGTCACGTGTACAAGCCTCTAAAGTATTACAACTGATTCAAAAGAACAACACAAGTCTCATATGACATTGTTTCTAGAGTAGAACAAGATCATAAACAAGAGTAAGAAGGTCTGTTGAGTGACAAACAGCTACCTCACAAATCTCCAGAAGCCTGGAAAAGAAGAGAATAACAAGTACCACAAACATCCAAGCTCGTAACCTACAAAAATTTGTAGAAGCAAGGGGTGAGTACCAAACCACACGGTACACAACAAGTAAACCTCTAAACACGAGTTAAGGGGATAGAATACAAGTACTCCTTACACCCCAACTAAACCTTCACAACTACAATCTGTATAAAACCAGCCCAACCTAACAGTTCACAATTTACAAAGCACATAGCTCAACACAACACTCTAACAATTTCATATCCTCAACAACAACAATAGTTTCATATCCTCAACAACAACACTCTAACAATTGCATACCTTCAATAACAAGCTCAATATTCATCAGTCACAAGTTCCATAGAAAGGCACTCACAAGATCAGCAACACACAAGATCAAGTTCACCAATAATAAAGAATGCAATGTAATGAAATGCAATGTCAAGTATAGTGATGCATGTCTGACCTAATGATACACACCCGATGTCTCTCAGTCCGGGACCCATGGGGGACATATCTGTCCATGCATCCATCGCGGCGTGCGATACGACCCTCGATAATAGTAACCATCGCGGCGCGCGATACGTCCCTCGAAATATAGTATCCGTCGCGGCGCGCGACACGTCCCTCGAAATATAGTATCCATCGCGGCGCGCGATACGTCCCTCGAAATGGTACATTCTCTTTATTTTCTTAGTCTTTCTCAAAGCACATAACACTTGTCACAACCATGTCTCAGAACAATACAAATGACATGTTCACACAAATAATAAAGAGATGACCATTTTCATAACATTGCACAATTCACAACAAGACAATCAGGATACAACATCAACAATGATTCAACAAGCCTTTCAAACAATTCTCAACACATCACACAAACAACTTATCACATTGCCTTTTATTATCCCTTTTTCATCATTAGAATTAATCAATGTGGACAAGTCAACCCATCACCAAACCTCATTACCCTAAACACATATTACAAGGAAATACATGAATTCCATACACTTAACAAGGGTTTAAAAATCCACTTGCCTCAAATAGTCGAACAATCACCCCGGGACTTGAGCCTTTCCCTTTCGTTGGACTTCCAAATCAATACAATCTATCCAAATAAATGACCACGATAAGATTTCGAAACTAACAACATTCATATTACTCTATGTCCAACTAGACCCAAGAACTCATTCAAACCTAAAATCAAATTCCTAAATCTTGATGTCAATTAACATGTCAACTCATATTTTCAAATTTCAAGTCTAAGATTATGCCTCAATTTCGTTAAATAGCATAAATCTAATGATATTCATATAATATAGTATACCTAAAATTTAAGTATATCACACCAATACGCTGGAACATGGATCATAATGTGATCACCATGAAGAACTTTGCAACTCCAAAATCAATAGAAATCAGTAACATCTAATGTCAAAATAATATTTTAACCCATATTACTTCCATTCAACTATCACTGCCAATCATTGCCTTATCATTGACAATGATTGTGTCCCTCAATTATTTTTTTATTATTATCCTCGGTCACAAAGCACGGACAATTCACTCAAATTGCAACAATTCACCTCTTAATTCTTCAATCCAATAATATTATAATACTAATTCCTATATGCAACAATAATATATGTAGACACAATTTGAAACTCACTTGAATATTACCTAAAGTTTCGTCGCCCTTTTCCGGTACCGCAACAATAGTTTTGTTCGACAACAGTTTCTCCCCTGCTGCACTTTGATCGGTCGCCAATGAAGTCCTCTTCGAGAGGCTAACTATTTTTCTTTTAATTGATTAGGGCAAATAATTATGACCCACTGAATAATTAAATAAATGTTAAATCTCACTAGCTTATATTAATATATATATATATATATATATATATATATATGAACTTGGCCCATTAACCACCAACTAATTCAGTCTAGTTAAACAAATATTCTAAATTTCCAAAAATGACATTTCGGGTCATTACACCAAGTCTTGCATGTGGATCTTCTAACAATCTAGCTTGTACCATCAACACAATGACACTCTTATACTTTTCATGGGTGCACAATTAATTGTATCCTAATTTATGTCAATTTCTAAAAATAAATATATACATATAAAAAGCTTAGATCTAATCTGAGACTGAAAATTAACATGATATTAATTTATTCTTCAACTATCATGTTAAGATATCAATTATTCTTAAAATATCAGTTTAGGTATTAATTATTCTAAAAAAATCATGTTAAGATATTAATTATTCTTAAAAAATTCTTTAAATGTGAAGATGCTTGTCTTTAACTAAGTGTTTAACATTTTATACTAGAATATGGATAAGCAAAACAAATTAGATGGTGGAGATGCAATAATGACAGTTTCCATATCGTGTATTGTGTTTAACATTTTATACTAGAATATGGATAAACAAAACGGAAAAGGGTCAAAATTTCCCCCGAACTATATGAAATAGACCATTTATACCCTTCGTTACATTTTGGGATAAAAAATGCCCCTGTTGTTATCCTAAGAGACCACAAATACCCTCAAGAGTTAACACCCCAAATTTTTGTTGACGTGGCAAGCCACGTGGGACTAATCCTTCCGCCTAAGTGCTGCCAACTAGGATTCACTACAAAAGAACTAGACCTTTAGCGGCAACAACAGTCGCCACAAAAACCCAGAAAATCGTCACTAAAAGTTTTTAACATTAAATTCTAATTTTGTGTTTTTTTCTTCATTGTTTTTAAAAAACCAAATATGATATCGATTAAGTAGGAGTTTGAAGACACTATATGTTTTATTTTTATGTCATATGTAAATGTATAAAATGTACAATGATGCATTATTTATATATATATATATATATATATATATATATATATATATATTTAGTAGGAGATTTGAATCGAGAAGTAATTTTGATTATTTTTCGTAATAATATTGGATGTTTTTAATATGCATATTGCAAGTTATTTATTTTAGAAAATTAGGTCGCAATCGAAAATTATTTATCATATTTTTTTGTTGAAAAAATAGGTTTTACTAGCGAATGGTTGTTGGAGCCTTAGTCGTCACTAAAAATCACTCATAACCTTTAGTGGCAATATTTTGGGATTTTGTGGCGACTTTGTCGCCACTAAAAGTCAAGCTCTTTTGTAGTGAATCTTAGTTGGCAATGCTTAGGTGGAGGGATTAGTCTCATGTGGCTTGCCACGTCACTAAAAAATTGGGGTGTTAACTCTTGAGGGTATTTGTGGTCTCCTATGATAACTGCGGGGGTATTTTTGATCCAAAATGTAATGGAGGGTATAAGTGGTCTATTTCGCATAGTTCAGGGGCAATTTTGACCCTTTTCCGTAAAGAAAATAAAGTAGATAGTGGAGATGCAATAATAGATGTTCCCATATCGTGTATTGCAATACACGATATGGAAACTGTCATTATTGCATCTCCACCATCTAATTTGTTTTGCTTATCCATATTCTAGTAGAAAATGTTAAACACTTATTTAAAAAGAAAGCATCTTCACATTTAAAGAAATTTTAAAAATAATTAATATCTAAACTGAGACTGAAAATACCATTTATTCTAAAATTTGACAATTTCCAATCGGGTATCGACATTAGCCGGTCAATTCCCGGTCAACACTGAAACTGCAGAGAAAAAAAGTTTTAAATTTTTCCTACTTAAATTACACAAAAAGCGGAAAAAGCCCTCTTTGTTTTCAAAAAATTTCAAGTACTCTCTAGGATAAGACCTAGTTCTCTCTCTGCCATATTTGAGACCGAATCACTCAAAAATCTGTATACATATCTCGGGTGAAGTTAAATTTTGCATTTTTATAGTTATTTTTTGTGTAATTTATTTGAATGCAGTCTTTTTAAGTTGATTAATTTGGTCAAGTTATGTTTTTTATGTTGAAATGTTGGAGTTCTTTTTATGATTTTTGAGTTTTTGGATTAAGGGGTTTATTTAGGGCCTGTTTGGCTATGTGATATGATATCATGATATGATATCATAATATGGAATTATGAGATGAAATTAAAGTTTTGTTTGGACATGCGATATGTAATTTTGATGTTGTATATTTTCTCATAAACGGAAGAATTCATAAGTTGTAAAACTATTAAAATAATCTCAATTGTTTATCCAATCTTACCAAATAAACAAAAATTTATAAAACCGCATAATATATTATTACATTGCTATTTGTTCTCCATTTAAGTAACTGTTTCATCTAACTTTAATTCAATAAAAAAATTGAACATAAATTGTAGTGTACTAGTCTTTAATATTACTCAACAATCGATTGGTGTGAGTTAAAGTGACTATATGTTGGTGAGAATAATAAATTTTAAAAGTAATGATGTCATTATAAATTTTATTTACATATAAAATAAATGGTTAGTAGATATAAATGTAGGATTGTTTTAACAAAATATAAATTTGTGGATCAATTTTTGTATTAAAAATATCTCAAATCATGATATGGAATTCCCATATCATGATTTTTGGAGAATGTGGAATCACATCTCATGATAGAATCCGCGTAAAATCGCATGTCCAAATGCTGATTCCATCTCACGATACGCCTACTTAGTATGGAAATTGTGAAATGCTTGTTATGTTGTCGCCTAATTGAGGAATTGCAATATTTTTTGATGGACCATGTTGGAATTTTTTTTGTGGGATTTTAGTTTTCTCTGATGTAGTGATTTAGGAATTAGGTTTTTTTATTGGTTTATTGAGGAGGTAGAAATGGTTGATGATGTAAAAATGTATATCTTTTCTTGACATGGTTTTTACTTTCTTTGCTATTGACAATGTTTTGTTGATAATCTGTTTTGAAATTTTACCCTTTTAGATAGAGGTTAATTTAGTGTTGGAGTAGTGAAATGGATTATGTTTTGTTGATTGATAGAGAAATTTGAAGCATCTTATGGTGCAAAGTGGGGTTTTTGTAGTGGAAACTTACTTTTCTTTGCTATAAAGATTTTGGAACTAGGATTTTGGTTGATTGGCCAAGGAGGCAGAAATGGTTGGTGAAAATAAAGGAAAGAGCGATGGTGCTAATGTTGCACCGGGTTTGTTGGCTGAAAATGGTCGAACTGTAAAGAAATTGAAGGGTCACCTAGTTGAAGACAAGGATGGTGATACAAACCTTGATGGTTCATCAGATGTTGTTAGTCGGACCTACAAGAGGCGGAAGCGTACGGAAGTGGTAGAAGATGGCCTTGTGGTGGGGCACTCTGCTGGTCAAAGTACTAACAAGGTCTGATAATCCTTACATGAACTCTTGAAATGTCTTTTTTCATCTTCTGTTTGTTACCTTTTCTTATGCATAATGTCTTAGTCTCTTCTGTATCCTTCATGGAATAACCAGGTTTGAATCTGATGATGTAATTTGATTGTTATGCCCCAGCTAGTACTGTATAATATGTTTATCTTGTTTCGTTATCAATAAAAAATTCCTAACTCTTGTTCTCTCTCTTTGCAATCATCTCTATATGAGGTAGTAGTTCTTTTTTCTTGGCTCTTCTCTAAACTAAGGTTGTCTACCGAGATACGTGGAAGGCAAATACTAATTTAGAAAACCTATCTTTTTTCTCTTCTCAATAAAGAATTCGCTCTACTCTATATGAGGGGTGCCCATGTGAAGCTTCTTGAGAAGGGAAATGGAGGTGGTGGCTCTTGCGTAACCCCTTAACCAAAAAAAAGTTTTAAAAATATATAATAAGGTAGAGATAAAGCATTGTTATCCAGTGGCGGATGACTTATTTTGCAAACATAATAATAATAATATTTTGAAACTACATTGATGTACATTTTTCCTTGTTGCTCTATGCTAATAGTTCAGTATCATGGTTATGGTTGGCGTCTTGACATAAAGTACCCCTCTCTTCCTTGCCTGTTGGTAAACACCCCAACCCCCCACCCCATTTTTTTTTTCTATCTCTCTGAGATCAATGACATATAACAATGATGAATGAATTTACCAGATAACAGAAGTATAGACCATTTGTACCAAGATATTAGAGATGTTGTTCAGAGTTCAGACACATAATTCAGAAAATACAATTTCATTCATCATTTATATTTTGAAAATAGACAGAATAGAATGTGGTTTTATCTTTCAAGGTTGATTCTTCTGCAAGTAATTTTTTCTTCTCTGCTTCTGGTCCCCGAACCAATATCAATTAGCACCAAAATTCTACCAAGTTCCCAGATGGAGATCCATTATGACGGCCATCATATGATTAACTCTTAAGTGAAAAATTAAGCTCTAGTTCTGCTATCTGTAATGTGCTGCGAGGAAGAAAACCCTAATTGTCTCTGTTCTCTTTACACAAGAAACACCTCCTTACAATTTTTCTCCATAAATTACTTAATACATAAAGAATTTCAAGCTACTACAGCACAAGTGAAGTCACCTTCCGTGACTTTTTATGATTTCCAATGGGAGAAAGGATTCTACTCAATCACGTAAAAGCCAGTTTTACATAAGATCTAACAATTTGTGATTTTGTGCCCCTGCATCTTCTTACATTCTTTTCTCCCCTACTCTTTTTTTTTTTTGACAAAAATAATCTTGAACTCATTTTCATATCAAATAATTTGGACGCTGCCCAGGAAGACCCTTAGTTGCTTTGATTAAAATAACCAAGGGAGGATGCAACATTACGTTAATGGGTTCATCTGAATCCAATACTTTCAAAGTGGAACCCAAATTTATGGGTAAAAATTCGCTGAAATTGCAACAAATAGTAGATTTGAACTCATAAGTTACATATATAATGAGTTCAATACTAAGAACCTTAAAAGTTGAACCCATAAAGTGTAATTCTTAGATTCGCCTCTGATTAAAAAACTTGTCTTCTTTTCACTTCATTTAGATGATGCCGCCTTTGACTCTTGGGATTTGTGATTTTTTTTTGATAAGGTAAGGCTTAATAAATATGTACCAAGATGGTACTAAAAAGATACAAATGACCTGCAAGGGATGGTCAATTGGCCATGCAGCAGTTACATCCTGCTTCCTAGAAAGTCAAGGAAGTCCATATATTAACTAGGATCATCTGGCATACAACTTTTACAAGTCATGGAGGCATTTCTCCTTGATTCTAGAGACATGTATTTTCTGGCCCTCAAAATATGCCCTGATTATTCTTTTTTGCATGTCTCATGTGCGTCTTTGGCATGTTATTCTTGTGATTCTTTAGTTTTGCTTCCTTCGTGTTTTCATTTTTGTCCTTCTATATTAAAGCTTAATTTCTGTTCATGTTTTCTGCAATTTCGGCACGTAAAAGATGTTCTTTATGAAAATTATATGATAAAATTTCAAAATGTAGTTTGAGTTATGCTGTCTGTCTAATATAATTTTTTATGCTACTGACTTTTATTTCAAAGAAATGTTGTAAATTTTTCTAGAAATTTCTATTAGACAGAAATTTCGTTCAAATAAAAGTCTGTACCGTAGAAATTTCTATTATACAGACAGCATAACTCACACTACATTTTGAAATTTTATCATATAATATTCATAAAGAACATAATGTGCAGAATTTAGGAAAGATGAAAGAATATCCGACACAGGAAAAAAATTGATATGTACAGCAACAATGATTTTGATAGAGAAATCAATATATTGTGATTAAGTGGATTTATGAAGTAAAAACCATGTTAATCAAGGTGGAAAAACATATCAAATTTTGGCTCAGATGCAAATATATAATTTCAAGCTTTCTTACTCCCAAGTTTCTAATTTCCTATTATGAAGTATTCACCTAGTTTATTTTCTTTAACGATTATGTTATATATTTACTGTTTAGTAGTGCTTCCTTATAAGGAGAGCTCATGAGCCTAGTGACTTATCCCGATTCTTTTTTTTTTTTGAAACTGGTAACATTACTCTATATCCACAGGTATACTACAACCAAAAATGCAGTTCCCCTTCAAAAGTATTACAATCTATTAAAAGCTCAAGGCTAATACTTGTTGCCTATAAACAATCTAGAACATCAGATGTCTTCAGTTTGAGCTAATAAACTATGTTTACACCAAAAGTAAAATAGAGCTGAACACTTCATTTTGACATCCTGTAGACTGTTTTGCACATTTTCGAAGCTCCTGTTGTTTCTCTTTCTAGATTGACCACCAAATGCATGCTGGGACTTATCCCGATTCTTCAAAATGCTATTTGTTGGATGATTTTTTCTTAGAGTGCCTTGCACCATCGCTGCCTGCAATACGCCTTGCTTGAAGGCTTAAACCACGATCTTGACAATGTCATAGTTACTCTTAAGTGATGCATTTCTGTAAGGGGCCTGACCCGGTTACTCGACATGGCACGGTGGCGGCAAAGGGTTGGCATGAATGACTTTGTCAAGGGCCTAGGTGCGGGTTGAATCAATCATGTGGGCGAAGTGTTAGCATGGTTTAGTGATGCCAAACAAAGTTGGGAAGGCAGTGTCATGACATGACATGGGCGCTGGCAAGGCAGCAGGCCATGGCATGGCATGTGCGCTGGCCGACCTCGGTTGTGGGCAAAGTTTGGCATATGGAAAATACACCGTTTGGTCAAGTGCGGGAAAATTGAGCTGAGCTAAATTAAAGCATAGACAAATATGAATGAAACCAACAAGAAAACAATGAATGGCACGAGTGGATCAAAAGTTAGCATGGCCAAGGAAAACACAGGCAAGGCAGCGGCAGGGCATTGACAGTGCGCAGGCATGGAAAATAGGCGGATGGATTCAGGTGGACTTTGATCAAGCAATGACTATACAACGCTTAGACATTGCATTGGAACCAAAAATATGGAGGGAAATGGCAGAAAAGGTGCGAAATCCAGTCAGCCAATATCACATGCCAAGCACATGCGGCGGTTACCTTTTTGTAACCGTTTTTGTCCAGATTCATTGTAACTCTTGTAATGCTTTTGAATTCGAAATTTGAATGTTCTTATCAGTTGGGGATGTCAATTGAAGTTTAATTTAGTGGCCTCTTAGCATGACAAGTGTAAGACATGTGTCACAAAGCTATGCAATGTAAAACACAAGGCTGCCACATGGTCTATAAATGTGCAGCCTTGGTGTTGGACGAATTAGAGAGTGAAAGAGGGAAGAATTAAGTCTTGAATTTCACTACACTTAGAAAAAATGTGAGGGTTTTGAATAGTGTCAAAAGGCAGCAATCGACTTGTGATTGTGCCTTAAGTCGAAGTCAAAGTCGAAGTTGGGATAGAATTGTTATCCTAATGAGTGAGTTCCTTTGTATTGTTTTGAATATTAATATAAAGGTTGGGTTTGCCCGTATTTTTGTGTGCATTTCAGTGCTAAGAATCGAAAAATAATCTAAGGCAAAACAGTAAGCATTGTTAAACGCTAGGCAGAATAGGCTGCGAACAGGCTGAGTTTAGTGTGGGACTTGACTGCCACACGGTGGGTTAACCTTTGGCACTGAATTTAGGTGAAGTAATCTGCCCCTGTGACAACTTCCAATTAAGAAATTTCATCCTTTAAGTACTTGTTGGTGGTCTTCTTCTTGTTTCTTCCTTCCTCCTGTTTCTCTTTGTCCATTTGCACTATACTTCTCTTGTTCTTTGATATACAACTGGTTTACTTTTTGGTATTCTCTTTGTACATATGTCTTGTTGTAGGATTTTACTTGTTGGTATACTTGTATATGGTTAATTTTGTCCTTTTCATTAATATAATTGTTTACCTTATAAAAAGACAACTGGTTTGCTTGATTTTATGCAGTCGATGAATGAACCACTAGATACAGCTCTTAACAAAAGTTCTTGCACGCAAGCTAGTGTAGCTCATATGGAACCACATGGTCTTCTGAATGATTCCAGTGATTTGCTTGTTAGAAATAGGAAGGGTGCTGCTCTGAAGCAGATGCTTCAATCATTAGAGAGTGATGGTGGTTTGACAGGATGTATTCAAGAGGCACTGACATCACATTCAGAAGCCAGTTGTGCTGTTGAAGCTAAGGTACTTCTGTTGCAAGTATCTGGACAACTTAATATACAATAGTAAGCCACTATTTCCTTTGCTGTTAATTGTTCTTTGATAGCTTGTTGCTTGTTTTTTCAGGAATCTGGAAAATGTTGTGAAGATGGGAACCGAGGTTCTCTGCCATCACAGTCTGTATCTCATGGAATCCAGAATGGAACAAAAGCAGTGCCTAATGGATCAGTGGATGAGCCAAAAAATCAAACAGTGACAGAGTTCTCTGTTTGCGCTTTGGTTTCAGGAAAGCAGCCATGATGTACATTTCTTGGACTTAGCTAACAATCTAGCTAGAATCTCTTTAAGTTCATAAATTATGATTATGGTGTAATGTACTTAATCCATCTTTCATCCTCTCTGCTTAGTTTCTCATTTCTTGAGTCTGATAAATGAACTCTCAGCCTGGCAGTAGCTTTAAGATACTTGTTATGGGCCTTATTCATTGTCTGGTTTAGCTTGTGCATGTGTCAAGTCTTATGAACCTTCACGTTGCATTTTGAAAACTGAGTGAATATAACTGTTTTGACTTCTCGGAATGGTAGTGGTTGGGTAAGAATACTAAAATCTGGTACCTTCTATTCCAAACCTCACTGCAATTCTTCATGTTTTTTCCATGGTTTGGAATCCACATGTCTCAATTCCTAGGCACTCTTATTTAAAGGATTGATACAATCTGTTATGGATTCCATATGATGTGCTGTTATGCTGCATTAACTTCATCCATTGAAGCATACAGCTAACATATCCAGGAAGTTTATTGCACATAGGAAATACACTTAATGAAACTTTTTATAAAGACTTTCTTTTGAGTAAATAAACTTTTTTTTTATAAAGACTTACAATTACAAATATATTAAAGTAATTCAACTGATCAAACAACAACAACAACAACAGCAACACACACATGCAATTCAAATCAAAATCGATAGTCCCTAGATCTGCTTCTGTTTGTACTGACTTCATGAGAGACAAACATTACAAAATTCAATGTAATTTGTTGTATTGATAAAACTGTGATAAATAAAATGAACTGTTAATGTACTTCATCAAAAATAAAATAAAATTAACTGTTAATGTACATATGGGAACTCCCGTTGGAGAAATTTTATAATGGGCGAGACACAAGTATGGCTAGTTGTGTGAGGGATTTTCAATAAAAATATGAGTGTAATGTGGGACCATTTCTGACTTTGAACTCGGGAGTAAGAAATGTGGAGAGGGGATAGATTCGCAAGGGTGAGGAGGGGAGTGAAAGAGAAGTTGATAAATTAGGGGTCCCGCAATTTACACTTGTCATGAAATGTGAATCTCATACAACTAATAATTTTGTGTCTCACACCAAATAAAATTTCTCCTCCTATCGAAACATACAGATAAGTTGTAAAAGCTGCATGGAGTAGCTGTACCTTATGATAAATCTTAATTACTGGGGAACCTTGTTAGATATCCGTATTATGCCAAAGAAGACCATTTCCATTACAAATCTTAGGAACCTGTTCAGTGTTGTCTAAAACTTGCATCTGCAATCCATTCAATTCAATATGGCACTCTTGAGCAAAAACTGCTTTGTGTATCTCTGGGAATGATCTGTTTCTAGTGTGAAATTCTTTAATGCAATGCAAACATCTCTGAGGATAAATTTACAAGGTCTCTGGGAAGTTGATGATGGATGGGGAAGTCTTCTAGTCATATTATTGATTGATGTTTTTTTGGGTTGGGAGACTTGGTAGTTTTTCAGTTTCATCTGATATGTTTTTTGCTTAGTTATTGCTATGCATCATCTTTACTTCGTTAGAGTATTGCATGCATCCTATTGTGGTATTTAAATGTAGGTGCTCTATGATTGCAAACTTACGTATTTGACCATGAAAATACTCAGTGTCTCCAGTTCAATGAGTTGTAACTTGATTAAAGTGGGATCCTTTGATTAGTAAAATGGCCTAAAGATCAACATAATGAGGGGAAGAGCTTTAGCTTATGTGTAAATTTGGCTTGCCGAATAGTACATGTGAGTGGTGAAAGCTATGTATGATTTTATGCTTTTAGCAGTTAAATCATGTCTTGTTTCGGAAATTGGGTCTTCATAATCTAAGGAGATGGTTTACGAGGAAATATGACACAGACATTCTTCACTAGAGAAGATTACAGTTCTTTAATCTAGGAAACTAAGCTGTCTTTCTGCTGCCAAACTATCAGGGGAAGGGATTCAGTGTGTTCTCCCCCGTCGTAGTTGCCTGTTTTGATTGTTTACGTAGTTATCTTTTAAGATTCTTGTATGCAATCAGAAACTGGGCTATAGATGAATGGGGAGTGACAGACTGCCTGAAGATTACACAGCCGAGCGATGCTCAAGTTTTATTCCGATTTGCTAGTGAGAAGCAGGCTGTTGAAACTTGAAACTTTTCATAGAGGAAAGAGGTGGTTTGGTGGTAATTTCTTGAAACTGGATAGATGGAAGGAGCAAGATGGGTGTGTTGATACTCATCTTACCGGTGATACTGTGATTATAAATTTGGTGGGTTTGCCGCTTTACCTTTGGAATGTTGACCTTTTCAAGAAGGTAGGGGAGCTGTGTGGGGGTTTGTTGATGTTATTTGCAGTATGCACGGCATTTCTAGAGTGAAAATTAGGGTGAGGAAAGGGGGGGAGGGTCTCTGTTTCTGTGAAGGTGGATGTTGGAGAAAGTAGCTATAGAACATGGATGTGCATTGTATTTCAACCTGAGTTTTTTTACTGCAGAAATGGAGGAAAACGTGAATCTATCCAGCAGGAGGGGAGGAAAAGGAGGTGGGAAGGGGAGGAGGGTGGCGGGATAAAGGGAAAATAGGTCATTGGAAGTTATGGAAAGAGCTGCTGGAAGGGATAGAAGACTAGAAAGTGAGAGAATTTGAATTCTCGAGGGGAAGGAAAACCCCAAGCAAAGGAAAAAGATAACACTACTCCCTGGATTAGTGAACCAGGTTGGAGGAGTAGACTGAACCAGTTCACTAAGTCTCTAGAGTTGAACGGCGAGGAAAACACAGATCCGTTTGGTCTATGCCACAGAGAGGTCCAACCAGCCGGGAAATTAAAGATCGTGCCTTATGCTTAAGCTTTTTCCTGTAATGGAATGAGTAAGAGTCCGTTTGGCTTAGCTTAAAAAAAGTAGTTTTTGGAAAGTCAAACTTTAGTTAAAATGAAAAGTATGGAGTACCTACTTTTAACTTTTAAATTTTTAAAGTCATTTAAAACTTATTTTAAGTTATTTTTTGCCAAACACTCCAAAAGCTAAAAATAACTTAAAAGTAGGTTTGACCATCTTTTAAGCTAATCCAAACAGACTCTAAGTTCCATGGGACTTATAATAGTCCCAAAACCAATTTTTTGATGGGATGAGATGCTGATTTTTCACATTCAGACCCGTCCAGGAGTTGTTTTACAACTGGCAGCAGTAGTACAGAGGTTCAGGGAGCTGATGTGATGTTGGTAGCAAGCTTTGAAGATGGTAGGTTTCTTTACGAGGTGGGTGGGAGAGAAATTTCTTAGATTCGGGGAATAATTTTTGGGAGTGTAGTTTGTGGGTAATGAGGCAAGGTGTTAGAACTACTGAGACACATTGAACATGAGACAGTAGAGGAGAGTAGGGAGGGACGGGAAAGGAGTTTGAGGAAGGAAAATTGTGGTGTACAGAAGGAGGAACAAGGAAGTGCGTGGGAAATTGAGTGTAGGACAGGGGTCAATGGGGAGAGAAAAAAGTAGTGTATTGATGGATTGCAAAATTATTAGTTGGAATGTGAGGGGGATGAATGACCCCAACAGAAGGACCATCATTAAAGTTGGCTTTGGGGAATAGAAAGCAGATGTGATATGTATTCAAGAAACAAAAATGGAGATTTTGACAGATAGTATTATTAGAAGTATGGAGGTGGAGGTAGGGAGTAGGTGGGTGAAATATGACTACATCCCAGCCCAGCAGGAGGAATTCTCATTCTTTGGTATGAGAGAAATGTGGAGTGTGTGGAAGTTTATAAGGGAGATTTCATGCTAGGAATGCAGTTCAAAAACATGAATAACAGAATAGAGTGGGGTATGGGGGTGTCTAGACCGGTGGGGGAGAGTTCAAAGAAGATTTTTTGGGGTGGAGTTAGGTGTTGGTATGTAGGGGTGGGTATCGTATGGTATAATACCAAATACCAAACGGAAAATGATATTTTCTATACCGTGGTATGGATATCATGGTATTTGGTATGATTTCTTAATTTTTTTTTGGAATTTGGTACAATATTTGATATTTTACAAAATAAATACCATATACCACACCAAAGTTGTATAGTAATATATAGATCCCATATATATTATACTTAAGACTAGTATAAGTACCTGTGCGATGTGCGGATAATGTTTTAAACATTAATCATTTCAAATTGTGGTCTTATTTGTCAAATTATTCAACCATATTACATTAACTTAAATCTAAATGATGCATGCCTAAAAAAACATAGAAATGAATTTAAGAATGAAATCACGTGTCATTTCCCGAAACCAAATTATCCCTTGACCATTGATCGATTGTTGTGCATCTATACAGAAATCGTCCAATCTTAGTTTTGGTTTCTGGTTTCCTAACCAATTGTCGATCAGTAATGGGAAAGAGATTAATCAATCTTGAGTTTATATATTGCATTGACAAAAGAGATCTCTACAGGCTGGGCACCGGAACCACCGGACCGGAACAAGACGGGTTGACCGGTTTGTTGACCGGTACCGGGATGAACCGGACCAGAATTACCGGGATGGATACTAGGTTCCATCCCGTCCCACTATATATCGGGATGGAACCGGACCGGACCGGAATGGAACGGGATGGGATAAACAGGACGAGACATATAACTATTTCAAAAAATAATAATTTTTTTTAGTTATTTTGATATTTTGAATTACGAAAATATGAATGTTTGTTTATTTTTCTAAGTTTAAATTAATTGTTTTGAAATTTATAATGTAATTTTACTTAAGTTTATTTTAAAGATATTTTTTTTAATTTTTACTTATTAAATTTGCAAGTTTAAGTTTAATAAAGTTTTTTTGTTTTAAAGTTTTTGAGCTTAAGTTTTCATGTTTTGAAATTTTGAATCTTTTGAAGTTTATAAGTTATTACTTATTAATATGTTATAAGTTATTCTTATAACTTGTAATTTAATTAACTTAAGTTTGTAATTTTAAAAAAACTAAATAAAAATAAGGATAAAACAATGACACAAATTAAAAAATATCAATCCAATCAAAAATTTTAATTTTTTTTTTTTTGAAAATATGCCTATATATAAATTATAAAATATAAATTAACTAATAAAAAATAATTAACCGGAACCGAACCGAACCGAAATAAATCAGGATAAACCAGTACCAGTACACCGGTATCAAATCGTGATTCCGTTCCGTTCTGAGTACCGGTTCATGGTGTCCCATTCCGCCCCGAAGACTACCGGACCGGAATGGACCGGATTGATACCGGAACGGTACCGGTACAACCCGATTCAGTGCCCAGCCTTATCTCTACTCTTGTTGTCTCTAGCTAGAGTAAAACAACATGACTAAGCACCTTGAATAGAAATGCAAAAATGAAGACGGCTTCCTTGATTTATGAATTCAAGTTTTCTTTCTTGTTCTGCTTCCTTCTTTAAATGTGTTAAGAATTCCATCTTCAAAAGTTAACTCTATTAGCTTTTTCACCTAGTTGAACCTGATTCTGTACACATCTTTTAATCAATGCTTCTACCAATTAAAAAGAAAATTGCTTAAAAATAATTAAAAACTACCAAGTCTGGAGGACTTCTGTATCTTCTTGTTAACAGAACCAACTAATTGGAGCGCTAATACAAAATGAAAAACAGAGTCTATAATTAACTAATTGAAGGACGTTTTGTTACTCCTCTGCCCTTGAAATAAACATGCTCTTATGAATGGTCTAGAGAAGACGTCGACAATGGTTACACATTAAATACGGATTGACATGTAAGCAATCACAAACATTTAAACATAGATGCATCATGCAAGGAATCACAATTCTAAGTGTCTCAAATGAACAAAATACATTAAGACACCGAGGTAATACATCACAACAAGAATAAACATTTAAGCGCAAATACCTTGTCGTCATCACAATCTAAGCTTCTCAAACACATAAAATCAGAAAAAATGGTCAAATGCCCCCCAACCTATTATCGGATTTTCAACTATACACTTAAGCTTCACAGGGGTCCTACACCCCCCTGAACTGTTTTAAAATAGAATAAATAAATCCTTAACGCTGAGTTGGCTGAGAAAGTGCATTTCATTCTCTTTGAGAGAGTGAAAAGAGAGTAAATAGGGTTGCTTTCATGTTTATTTCGTACATCTATTTTGCTCTCTCTTTCTAATTAAATTAAAATAATCTCCTCCACCCCACCCCAACCCAACCGCCCCACACTTCTTCTTCTTCACACTCACCCTACACTTCTTCTTCTTCTTCTTCTTCTTCTTCTTCACACTTTTGCTTTATTTTTAGGGAAAATGCATAAGTACCCCCCAGCCTATGCCCAAAATCCCTGAGACACACCTAACCTTTACTAAGGTCCTATTACCCCCCCCCCCTCCCCCGAACTTATTTTATATATAATTTTCTACCTCTTTTTGGCCTACGTGGCACTATCTTGTGGGCCCAGCGCGTGTTGACAATTTTTCAAGGATAGTGCCACATAGGCTGAAAAGGGGTAGAAATTATATATAAAATAAATTCGGGGGGGAGGTAATAGGACCTTAGTAAAGGTTAGGTGTGTCTCAGGGATTTCGGACATAGGCTGGGGGAGTACTTATGCATTTTCCCTTATTTTTATTTTTCATCACAAATTTCTTCAGGAATTCTACATATTAACCGTCTCTTACCCATAATCAAAGAACCTTTAAATAAATTTAGTTATTACTCCCAAATCAAAGTAGTATAATAAAGAATTTAAAAAATCAATATTTTTTATCGAAACTCATTTCAGACAAACACAAAATTTTCAATTTCCAACACCTTCACAAGCTCTTCTCTCAAACGTTAATTCTAATTTCACATTCTTGAATTTAACCACAAATTGAGATATTTTCAAAATGGGGCATAGAAAATTCAATTGGATCATAATTTTTTTCAATTAGATTAATTTCAATGTTTTAATTTGGTTTGCTACTTTCACCAACATTAAGATAAGAAAGCGATCGAATTGAAAATTTATGGCATGCCCATATACTACTTTTGGTATATCCCTTCATAAACCCCCAACATAAGTAAAATGTGTAGCAATGAACTTTGAGAGAAGTTGTGGGGAATAGGATAAAGATATTGGTCTAGAAACTTTTACTCGTCGGAAAATATTTTACTGTCTTTTCTCTTGCCGGAATGTCAATAGATGGGAAGTGTGTTTGATAATGGTGATGTTCTTAATGATAATGGAAGGTTTCTAGTGGGGCATATAATAATAATAAAAAGTAGGAAAAATAATTCATTTATTATATTTATTAGGTGGCATTGACATGGCATATGCGTGTGTTACACCACAAAACACATGAGTGACTGTCATTTTAGGGTGAAATTTATTTCCTTATAAAATAGTTCTGGGGGCTAATAGGACTCTCGTGAAGTATGAGTGTGTAGTTGGAAATCCGACCATAGATTGGGAGGCTTTTGACCATTTTCTACATAAAATCACAAAGCTTACAATAACAAAAATAACTAGCATGAGTTAACAAATAAAAAACATGCATAAACATTTAAACAATCACCTTGTATGCAAACCTAATTTTAAGCTTCTCAAACACATATAATAAATTTTTTTTATGACAAGGGAAACTCGCAGTAAATACCCTTTGGGTGCGCACAGGGTAAAACCCCGCTTCTATGCAATAGCTTGCAAACCACATAGGAGAATCAAACACATATAATAATAGAACTTACAATAACAAAACAATCTGTGTGGACCTTCTACTGGTAGGAAATCACACCTACCTCTCCTAGCTCTTCACTAGGTAGGGCATATGTGCCTCTCCTCTTCATGTACTCGCATCATTTGAGCTTCGCTTTCCTCATCTTGTCCACCACGGGGCCCACTCCACCTTGTCTCGGACATCTTCGTTTCTAATCCTATCAGCATCCTCATTTCCACAACTTCCATCTCCTGAACATGGGAGGTTTTGATAGGCCAACACTATGTCCCATATAACATAGTTGAATAAACCACCACTTTGTAGAACTTATCTTTAAGTTTTAGTGGTACTTATTACAGAGGACTCTAGAAGTGAGCCTCCAATTCATCCACCCTGCATTCTAAGCTTCTTTACAAACACCATCATGAATAGAATCAATCAGCTCAACACCCTTGATATAATGACCATGTGTTGCCAACACCCGACTGACAAAAAATAAAGTTATTACTTATTAGGCCTGAAAATCTGAGCGTAAGGCTCATATCTAACACTATTCAAAGTATCAAGCTCTAAATCCATAAGAAGAGTTTCAGTTGCAAGTCTAAATGAACTAATCTATGTTATCAGATGTAGTTTGCAAAGAAGTTCCTCACTAGAAAATGATTGATTGGTTTGTTTTGAAAATGAAAAAAACTGATATAGTAGAAGAAGGATAAGATAATTTAACGGTTTAAATCCTTTTTGGGTGGCCTAGTGATTTGGGCTTGGGAATTTTATGTTGGAGGTCTCAAGTTTGTCTCACTGGGCTTGCCTAGTGCGAGTTACCTCTCTGATGTGGTTTGCGTGCTATTGCATAGGAGTGAGGGTTTTACCCTATGCGCACCCAAAAGGGTAGCGGCAGCGGATTTCCCTTGTCATCAAAAAAGATAATTAAACGATTTAAATATGGCAATAGTTATGTACGATTTCTAGTTTTTAAAACTTGAAATGGTAGTTTTTTCTTGTGAATTTTCTGTTTTAAATAATTTGTCTATTGAAAATATCCGTGCTTACACGTGACAGCTAGTACTTTTTAAAAATACATATTTGATTTATTTTTTAAAATTGAGATTTTTTTTTTGGTGGTGCTAACACGATAAACTTTTTGCCTCTCCTGTTCAAGTCTATTTTTAGTCTGGGTTTAGGTCTCACCATTGTCCTTCTTGGCCTGTGAGGGACATCTTTGTTGGCAGATAACTTATTCATAGGTCTTGTTAATTTGGTTCCAGGTAACAAGTCCTTGTTACCTGTAGTCATCTATAATCTATTTTTAAATCCCTTTGGACTAACATTAGTTAAAAAATGTCTAGTTCTAGTTCATCATCTGAGAAAATTATTCGAGTTTCAGGTGATGAGTTTGCTAAATTCTTTCAATATCATAAATCAGAGAAGGAATCTGCTTCAATTAACTTCTTTGCTGAGTCAAATAAAACATGTCTTATCACCTCTTCAAATAAAAGGGTAATTGATTCAGGTACCACAAATCACATGACGGGTAATCCTAACATTTTTTCTAGCTTTCAATCACACAAAGATTCCTCTCCGGTTACTATTGTAGCTAATGGATCAACTTGTAATAGTCTCGGAGCAGGGACTGTTAAACCAACCTCATGTATTACCCCGTTATCTTTATTAGATCCTAAGTTGCTCGGACTCGGGTGCGGGTATCCGAGACGGATGCGTATCCGAGAGTCGAATTCGGCAAAATCCAAATTTTAAGATTCGTGGGTGCAAATTTGAGTATGGATACGGGTGCGGGGATACGGCTAAAAATTTTCAATATTATAAAAATATAGTTATGAAGATATTCTAAATTTGAAACATATGTTGTGATAAACTTACATGTATTTTGTAGAATTCAATCTTCCATTCTTCGAGATGAGATTACTCTTCCATTCTTCCTACAAAGACACAACAAAATAGAAACTAAACATTAAAAGCATTTACAAATTACAATAGAATAAATATAACTAAAAGAATCAATAAAAATTGAAAAGAAGAACTAACCTTAGAACATGGATAGTAACTCGTCTCTTGAAACAAAGCGAAAGTGAAAATACTGCAATTATTAAAATTTAAGATATACACAAGATAATTATCCACAATTTAGATATTCATAATTACTAATCAATATTCAATACACCAAGTAAAAGTGTAAAACATACTATTTAACAAAAATCAAGAGATTGTCTCAACTTAATCCATAACTTAAAATTAACATAACAACAAAATATTGTCAATTATCAAGTTATTTAATTAAGTTAGCTATCTCTTCCACATCTTCTTCAACTTCTTCCAAATCTTCAAACTCTTCCTCAAATATCACACCTTCAATTTGAGGTTCATCTATTGAAAGCTCGGTTAGATCATTAGTTGTCTCATCAATATCAAATCGATCTCCACCTAAAATAAATTAAAAAGAATAAATATATTAGAAGATTTTATATAAAAGAAAAAAGCATCATTTAAACTAAATAATTGAAGAAAATATAGACATACCAACATCCCAATATTTGCTTGGCCCATTTATATATTTCTCTTTCTTGCGAGACAACAACCGGAGATTATAATGTACAAACACTAAATCTTCGGCTCTTGAAGTTGCTAACTTATTTCTCTTGATATTGTGAATCAAAGAATATGTACTTCAATTTCTTTCACAACAAGAGGAAAAAGCCGATTGAGTAAGCAACTTGTAAGCTAATTGTTGCAAAAGTGGAGCCGAGACCCCATGATTTGCCCACCAAGAAAGAGAATCTTCATACATTATAGCCTCAATCATGTGAGGCTCACTAAAATAGCCACTTCCGCTACAAAAGGATCCATACTCCAATGAGACTTGTTTCATTTCATTAGAATCTTTAAAGTACCTTTGAAAGCACTTGACTCTATTCAATGAAATTTCACTATCTTCATTAGGAGCTAGATTTCGAATTCCATTCTCTCCTTGAAGCCATGATTCATGATAATATTTGGGAACCAAAGAATGTGCCATACAATGTAGAGGTGTGTTACTTTTGTTCCACCTAGCCACAAGAATATCATGAATAGTATCAAAAAAAATTGATTGACCGGAAATGAGATCTTTCCCTCATGCTCAAAGATGACTTTCTTGACCTTCTCAATCATTGAGTCCCATATATCATAGATGAGATGTAATTTTGGACCATCAATATCGACACTTCTTAGCATATCAACAATTGGTTCCGTAAATTTCAAGAAATAATCAATACTATCCCATTTTTCATCATTCATTATAAGGGATTTTATTTCACGTGTTTTGGCTTCAATTCCCTTATCGATAATTCCATTCATCATCCATGACCATTTTCTCCAAAGAAGATTTCACTTTGCGAATTTGGGTGGTCATAATGATGTGTGAGGCAAATCTTGTTTCACCAACCTTCAACAAACACAAATCCGAATATTTTTGAAAAAGTGCATGTGCCAAGTCATGATTCACAACAAAGTTCTTCAAATTACTCACTTCACTAAGTAACTCTAAAATCCATTTACAATTAGTAAAGTGAGGTGATTTTTCCGAAGGTTGGCACATACTTTTCAAAGCTAGATTCAAACAATGAACAACACAAGGAGTCCAAAATATATGAGGATATTTTTGCTCCACAATAGTACCGACAAGTTTCATATTACTTGCATTATCCGTAATAACTTGAACAACATTGTTTGAACCTACATTTTCTATTGCTTCAATAAATAAGTTAGCAATATATTCACCATCTTTTACGATTCCACTAGAATTGATTGAATTTAAAAACATTGGACCTCCACTAGATGATGCCATTATATTGATCAAAGGTCGTCTTTTAGTATCGGACCATCCATCCGAACAAATCGACAATCCTTTCTTTTTCCACGTACCTTTAATTGGTTGCAACTTTCTATCAATATGTGTTTTTTCTTGAGTTAAAAGAGTTGTCCTCAATCTATTATATGATGGGGGAATATAACCGGGAATGGAATTTTCGGCTAGAAACTTAGAATATTTTTTAAAATAAGGAGAGTTTGCAAAGTTGAACGATAAACCTGATGTGTAGAACATCCTAGCGGCTAATTTGTCGACCGTATTTCTCTCATAGATGCCGAATGATTTTCCTATAGCTCCACTACTCGAACTCTTTCTCTTTTTTTGTTGCATTAAATCAGTCCCCTCCGGAAGTGATATATAATCAGCTTTGTTTCTTGCATCAACTTGAACAACGGTTCTTTTTCTTTCGGCTTGTTCATGCTCCATCTTCAAAGTCGCATATATATCACCACTACTTTCTTTACATATTTGAACACCATGACCCGATAATCTCAAAAGATGTGCTTTCATCCTATTATATGATCCTGTAACTATTTTATTGCAATAGTTACAAGACCATGCTCTATTCCCACCCCCATTTGGAGCAATCGAAATAACTTTCACATGATTCCATAGAGGTTTATCATCAAAATCTACTCCTACACTTTTTGTAGGTCTCATAAAATATTTTCCTTTTTGACTACTTGATGCCATCTTGTTAAACAAAGGAAGATGAATTTTTTTTTGGTTTACAGTGAACTTGAATGAAAAAACAAAGAAGAAACTACTCTACTGGAAAATGAAAAGATTTTTGGTTTTAGGAGGGAAAAGTTGGTGACAATGGAAAGATTTTTGGACTAGTTGATGGCTGATGGGATGTCATCTTTTTTATGTTACTCTACTTGGAAGACTTTTTGAGCTTTTCTTTTTTTCAAGAGGGATGTATGTATTGTGTACATATATTTTGACTATTTTAATTTGAATTGTTTTTATAGTTCTAATAGAAATAAAATTATTTTATCTAATTTTAATTTATATGAGATCGTTTGGATAGAATGTTTTTATCTAGCAAGACATGATCCTTGATCTGGATATGATATATATATATATATATATATATATATATATATATATATTTCTAGTATTTCAATAGTTCGAAGGTTATAATAATAGAAAGAATCAAAAGATCTAGTAAGACGGGATCCTTAAAGCGCTTGTATTGATAGGAAGAATTAAGTGATCTAGCGAGACATGACCATTGATCTGGATATGATATTGTGCGTGAAACTATATATATATATTTTATTTTTATTTTTTTCTACTATTTTGATAGTTCGAAGTTTGTATTGATTGAAAGAATCAAAAGATTTAGTAATTTAGTAAGACAGGATCCTTAAATCGCTTGTATTGATAAGAAGAATTAAGTGATCTAGTCAGACATGATCCTTGATATGGATATGATATTGTGCGTGAAACTATATATATCTATATATATTTCTAGTATTTCGATAGTTTGAAGCTTGTAATGATAGAAAGAATCAAAAGATCTAGTAAGACGAGATCCTTAAAGCGCTTGTATTGATAGGAAGAATTAAGTGATCTAGAGAGACATGATCCTTGATCTGGATATGATATTGTGTGTGAAACTTGATTTGGTTTGGTTTGATTTTTCTCTTTTCGATTTGAAATTTTTCGGTTCGATTATTTGGTTATGTCAATAATTAGAAACATAATCAAAGTTATATTTGCAATTTTATATATATATAATTTGGTTTTTTTCGATTTCTCCCTTCTTTTTTCTAGAATCCGTAACCAAAACAAGAAATCAATCAATATAAATATTAATCCAAAATTAAATAAAAAAATTAATCCAAATTAGAATTCGATTCAAATTTATGTAAACTAAAATATTTACATAATAATAGTAATATTAATCAGTAATTAATTCATGCAAGTAAATATTTACACATAAAGCACCTTTCTAATAAAAATCTCTAAAATATTGTTAGATCCCATTTTTCAATCCAACTCGTCCTATTTATATGGACAAAATATTTATCTTTCAAAATATTGTTCCCTTCTTTCCTTTTCTAACGTCTCTTTTCCTATTTTCTTTATACATGTAAATTGTAATATTTCTTCATTTCATTTTCTCTTTATATATATATATATATACACATATATATAATAGGAGAGGTGATAACGCTTACGTGTCAGCACCACAAAAAACAATAATTGTTATTAATTAAAATAATTAATTATAAAAAATATTTTTTACTAAATAATTATTTAAAATGACACGTGTCATTTTAAAACTTCCCACTACTCCACAAGTTGATAAAGTATATAAGTTTTTTTTTTAAAATAATAATTAAAATTGTTCTAAAAATATGCAGTTGTAACGTGTTAAATTCCATTTTTTGTGGAAAGGGAAATTTAATTACCTTTACGTAACCTTTTTATTTAATACTCTACGATTAAATAATAACTTAAATATGGTGATTAACGTTTGTGTGTGTTTGATTCCCTTTTTTTGTGAAAAATATTTTAAATTAGTTAAACTTTATTATAAATTTAATTTGTTAGATATGTTCTAAATAAGTTTATTGAAAAATTATTTATTCATTAAATGCATTGTTGTTGATAATTTTTATTTCAAACATCTATTGAAAAAGCTTCAACAATGATAATGATGAAAAATGTTGTATAGATAAATAAGAAGAAAGAGAAAGAAAATTAGAAAAAAACGAAAGTTAAAAAAAATAAATAGGCAACTCACTCTCTCAAAGAGAGTGAAATACACTCTTCATGCCAACTCAACACTTAAGGGTTATTTATTCCATTTTAAAGTAATTCAGGGGGGTAATAGAACTCCCGTAGAAAAGAAGTGTGTAGTTGAAAATCCGGTAATAGGTTGGGGGGTCATTTGACCATTTTCGACACTGGTGCGGGTGCGGGATGCATGTCGGATTCGGTCAATCCGATCCGGACACTTTGACCGAAGCCGAGAAAAGATTTGGGGAAGAAAAAATCAGTTTCCGGCAACGTAAAGAGGACAAAGCTTGAAAAAGTACAGAGAATAGATGAAAGAAGAGAAAATCAGTTTCCGGCTCCGGCGACGTGACGTAAAGAAGACAAAGTTGAAAAAGTAAAGAGAATAGAAGAAAGAAGAGTTTTTCTTCAAAAAGTAAAGGAAATAGAGTCTTTTTTTTAATCTTTCTTGAAAATATATGTACACAATACATGTACCCTTGAAAAAAGGAAAGATAAAAGAGTCTTCAAGTAAAGTAGTGTCAGAAAAAGAAACATCCCATCAGCTATCAACTATAAAGTTTTTTCAGTTGGAAATAGAGAAAATGGCCAAATGACCCCCCAATCTATAACTGGATTTCCAACTACACACTTATACTTTACGGGGGTCCTATTACCCCCTGAGCTATTTTAAAGTGGAATTATTTCATCCCTGAAATGGCATTACCAGGCATCTGTCTTGTGGTGAAATACATGCACTTGACACATGTATTTCATCATTTAATGAATTTTTTTTAAAAAAAAGTCTCCTCTTTCCTCTTTCTTTCTTCCCCAATCATTTCTTCAACCCTAACTATACTAAACACCATTGTTTACGTCAATAAAATTATATATCTCTAACATTTTATAAAAACGAAAATTCAACTCACCTTTTCATCTACTCTGAATCTCTAAACTCTAGAATATAGCGATCCTAATTAATCAAATCTTTCATCCAACTAATTCAACAATTTTCCACATTTTTTTTACATTTCGTTCGATTTTGTTCCTTGACAATTTCAGATACACATTAAATGGGTCATGAACATTCAAGATCAAATTCATCCCTTGAAGATTCCGCCGACAACTCAAAATAATCGCAGATGAGAAGACCAATTTGTAACACCAATTTGAGAAACCTCTCTCTCTTCTCCATTCTTTATTATTTCTCCCTATAAAATTTTCATGATTAATTTATAATTTGAGTTTTTGATTTTGATTCTTCATGGATTTTAGGAGAACATGTAGGATCCTTCTTTCAAAATGTAGAAGAAATTGTTTTGTTTTAGTTTCTTTTATTAAGTTTGAAAATATTTTTTAAATATACAATTACTTTACTTTGATTTTGTTACTCTTGAATCCATCACTTTAAAAAAAAAAAAATTAATGGGTATGTTTTTTAAAAAAATTAAATTTAATTTGTTAGATATGTTCTAAATAAGTTTATTGAAAAATTATTTATTCATTAAATGCATTGTTGTTGATAAAAAAATTTTAAAACACATACCCATTAATTAATTTTTTTTTAAAGTGATGGATTCAAGATTAACAAAATCAAAGTGAAGTAATTGTATATTTAAAAAATATTTTCAAACTTAATAAAAGAAACTAAAACAAAACAATTTCTTCTACATTTTGAAAGAAGGATCCTACATGTTCTCCTAAAATCCATGAAGAATCAGAATCAAAA